TTACATGAATATAGATTTGTGTAACCATCAGCACCATCAGGATCCAGAATAATTCTATCATCCCAACAAACCCCACACGCTCTCCCATTATAGTCACAACCCTATCCCACCCTGCTCCCTGAGGACCACTGAATGTTGTCCGTCACTATAGTTTTCTTTTTGAGAACATCGTATAAATGGAATCATATATAACCTTTCATTCTGTCAGCATCATGCCGTTGAGATTCACCCAAGTTTTTGCATGTATTAAGGTTTAATTTAGTAAGTAAAAAATACATTTTCATAATAAAATCCAGTCAGTAAAGGTTATCTTTTTTATATCATTTTTAATTTTGTTTTATATTGGTGTTTTCTTAAATTTGTGTGTAAAATCTTGTGGTTTTAAAACTTTCACGTTCTATCTTAACTGCAGGTGATTTTGCAGTTCTTCTTAAAGCAGGCATGACTGTCAAGCAAGCGATTGTGTACAACCTCCTCTCTGCCATGATGGCTTACATAGGCGTGCTCATAGGCACCGCCGTGGGGCAGTATGCCAATAACATCACTCTCTGGATCTTTGCAATCACTGCTGGCATGTTCCTCTACGTAGCCTTGGTGGATATGGTAAGATATTTTATGTTTTTGTTATTGTTATACTAAATCTGTAAACAGAACGCAGCTTCCAAAAGTGGAAGAAATCTTTGGATGTGTTTTGAAAGACCAATTATAAAAAAAAAAAATAGAGCCCATTTAAAAGACATGTGACATCCTAAGTAATGTATTACATAAAGATTTAGGAGGATCCCTTCTTTGGAAATGAGTTGAGATGCTGAAGATTTTTGACCAAATAATGTTACTGTTTAAAGTAATCATCAACAGTATTTAGAGATATAATTACACAATTACTAATTATACTTCTTTGAAGATTTTGTAATGTTGGGGTAGAAGTGTTTTGTTGTTGTTTTTAACAAAATGATTCTTTGAGTTTGCTTTATGGCAAACAAGAAAGAAATACTATACCTTTTAGGTAAGCCAGTACTGCCACACTGCTGCCATAGACTTTTACACAGAACAGAAGACTGGTGTGAAGTAGCTCTTACATAGGACTCTCTGGAGACTTAAATATGCTGAGCACTGTCCGAGAGTGGTAGTTAGATTAATTGTACTCATTATTTAATAATAAATAATGATTTTTTTTGGTCTCAGTCAGGCATTCTGTGCATTTCTCCTCCCTAAATCCCCAAATACCAAAATATTGTTTGGAGTAAAGCTTAGTGTCTAAGAGAGTAGCATATCAGTGTCATCTTTCTATAGATATTCATTGCAAACTTGAAAAAGAAACAACAAACAAAGCAGAAAAGGGAAAGTGAAAATTGGAAGTAGCACTCCTTTCACTATTTTGATTAGGTTTGGATAGAAAGAATTTATGCTTTAATAATGCATGTGCTTCATTAATGACTCTTGTTACTTAGATAAATTAAAGATTTAAGTTTTATACTTTGAACTATGGATTATTCTTAAATGTAATAGCATGTACATGTGCTTTAGAAATTGACCTATAAACTTTACAACGCACTGTGCCTTTAGAGGTATTGGAAACTTGCAGATATTTAAAACTGTAGCACTAATAAGAAACTAGAATATAGTGTGGAGGCAGTGTGCATGCCTTGGATGCTGGAGAGCTTCGGTATTACTGTTCTGTGTCTATCATTGGAAGGATAATGGTGCTTAAGGGCATAGAAATGCCAGTTCGGAATTATCTGTAAATGTCTAACCTTGCTGTCATGTGCAATTGGAAATGACAATTTTAAATGGAAAAGTGTAGAGATGATACAGTTTTGAATTAGATATCCCCAAAGGAATCTTACTTTCTCAGTGAGCTTAAGATAGATCAGTAAATGTGGGAATTGTGGTGTTCTTTTCTGAAAGTTTTATTGGCAATAAGTTGTCTTATACTTTAGCATAAAGTGAATGTCAGAATTGATAAGGTCAGGGGACAGTAACTTTAAAATATAACTTATGCATATATTTTGGGTGTTTGTTGCGGGATGAGAAGGGAACGTATTTAGTATTAGTACATAGCAGGAGCATAAAATGTCTTCCTCAGTGTTTGACTAAAATATGTGTTATGGTTATGCTTTAATCATTAGTGTTCTTAATTGGAAAAATGTAAAAAAAAATATTTGAGCAGAATATTACATAAAATTGCTTTTAAATATCTTTTTTTTTTTTTTCCCCCAGCTTCCTGAAATGTTGCATGGTGATGGTGACAATGAAGAGCATGGCTTTTGTCCAGTGGGGCAGTTCATTCTCCAGAATTTAGGATTGCTGTTTGGATTTGTCATCATGCTGGTGATTGCCCTTTATGAAGACAAAATTGTGTTCGACCTCCAGTTTTGACCATTGCCAGCAATCACTGTTGATGACAAGAATGTTACCATGCAGCTTTGCATCTGTTTCTTGTACTGTATGCACATTGCTCAAAGAAAAGTCCGAGGCTTGAACTACTTACAAGTTCCATAGATTTGAGCTCAGCCCCAAGACTGGTGCTCAGTACTGTTTGCCCTGCGTCAAGGGGTCTTTTAAAAAATACAAAGCTTGTGGTAAAGGAGAAAAGGGGACTCCGTGAACCAATGTTCATATAGCTTTGATTAAGGCTTTCTAAGACATAATCATATAAAACACTAAAATAGTCTCTTTATTAGTAGAAACTTCTGTGGCTATGCAGAAATAGAAATTGAACCAAAAAAAAAATCACTTAAACTTTAAGAATATTTTAAATGGACTTTGGGCAGACTTTTCTTTGTGCTGAAAGTGAATTGTAGTGTCCTTTAAGTCAGCTTCATACTCTTACATACATATGGTAATAGGGATCAACTCCACAACTTTGAAATTGCATAAAGTAGATTAGAGGACCTATAGGAGAGCTCAGGCTGCATTAGAGTATGAATTTAGCATTGGGAAAAGCCCTTATTCTTGAATCTAGAGTTACTATTTTTGTATATATTTGCATAGTGTTTAAACTTGCAGCCTAAACTACTGAAATTTGTGACTGTATGTTTGTGTGAGCTTCAGTTTAATGAAAGATTCATAATGGTTCTTTGTATTAATATTATACTTGGTGTTTGGGTTTATTTTTAAACTTTAATTTTGTTTTGTTTTGGGGTTTTTGGTGGGGGTAGGGGGTTGGAGCATGTGGTAAAATATTTGGGTTCTTTTGTTGTTAAAATTGTAACCCACTAGAAAATATCAGAAACGAAGAACCCAAACATGGTCTAAATATTCAATTTTCATACTTTAACACTGCTAACCAGTTATTTGGGAAATGTAAGTTCTAAATGTATGTATCACTTTACCAGCTTGGCATTGGAACTGTACTGTGGCTGGCAGTAGGCCCAAATTTCCCATGTCCGTCACCTGTACTTGGAGTGTCAAAGAAAAACCCAAACAGTTATAACTCCATTTGTACTGTGGCTGTCGTAGTACCAAGTGACTTGGAAGATATATTTAAATAACTCAACTGAAATCACTTGATCATTTTGTGCCAAGATATGCTGTTGGTGCCTGATTAGGGATTCGTCTCTTTTTTAGGTGCCCTGTTCTCCTACCATAATTGTGATTGATTTGTGAGAAGTGCAAGCCATGTTTATTCTGAATTTGACCTAATGATTTGTAGTACTAGTCATATGCATGTAGCTTTCTGTTTACACCTTGTGCCACCTGGTCTTCATTTATGCCAGGTAAACTGTATTTGAACTATGTGCAGGTAGCTTTTTAAAATCTGCTTGGCTACCAGTGTAGCTGCTTTAAAAATCTCTTGTTCAAATATTTAAGAGCCAAACTGCTTCTGTTCCTTTAAAATAATTTTCATTTGGTCCTTTTTTCCTCAGTTCCTTTCCTCTTACTCCATAACTTTAAAACAAAAAAACAAAACTTTGAGAGCAGCATATGCATCCAGGTATTAATAGAGTATTGCCAGTGTTTCTTCTTTATGCTGTAAAGGAGCTTAGGTATTATTTCCTTAATTTATGCCTGAATTTGAAAATTTATTTCTGGGTTTGTCCATGGTCTCCTGTAACAAGTAGGAGTTGTATACAGAGATGATTTTCAGCATTGGGCACTGACTTAGCACAGTCCTCATCTCATTGCTTGGCCCTTCAAGCAACCTTTTAAGGTGCTGATATTTTATTTAGTACTGCCAACTTCAAGTGATTCAAGTATCTTGCTTTCTGGACCAAGATATATTTATAGTTCATTTTTGGGTTTTTATACCCAAGGAGGATTCTGCATTCCAGAATTATTAAATCTGCTTAATTTAAAAACTTTTAGGAAAAGCAACAGCTGGAATATGCTCCCAGACTAAATAAATACCTGATTTAAAGCAAATAGGTTATGCTGAAGCATATAAAGTTTTATATTTTCTCAAAAATGGTATCGTCATTTGCTAGACTTTTTAACCTTTTAAGAGGGCTGTAACAGTTGCTGCTAGTATTTTGTTAGGGTTCCACCAGTATTGAGTTTTCATATTATTCTATAATTTCAAGTCTTACAGACAATCTGAATTCCACTACATTTCTGTTTGGCTCCAACATTCCATTTAGCTTGACCAGTCTAATTTAACGTGTGTTTGTTGGAGGTCATTAATGTTACTTGTACAATGCTGTCACTGTGTGACATCCATATGGATTTTGGTGTATATCACATTGCATTCAATCAGCTGTGATTATGCTTAGAAATACTATAGTAACTAGATGCAGTGTGCATTACTTCCATTAACAATAAGTCAGTGGCTTAAATGTGATTATGATCCTGCAAGGTGATACTTGCTAAAATATCTAAATGATTTTTATTTGTAACTGAATCATTTTTTTTAAATTTATGAAGATGGAAATGATCAAATACTGTTTTTTTTTTCATTGTCAACAGTGGTGTGTCATTTTATGTATGTTCCTAATGATTATGGAACTCGCCCAAAATAAAGTTATTCAAAAAGAGTAAATACACCAGTGTGTTTTCTTTAATCTTTATTTCAGGACATTTCTTTAAACTATCGTGTGAATCATTTTAAACAGAGGCTGCACTTGCACATGAATACATTTATAATTAAGTATAACTTTAGTCAAATTGATTTAAACCAAATAAATTGTTTAAAAAGTAAAATGTGTTCGATACTCAACCATTTAACAAGAAGTGGGAACAGGTCCATGGCATCTTCTAATTATGAATTAAGTTGACATAACAATGCTACACCCCGTCCAATCCAGTGCTCCTTGGGCTGGTCAGAGGGCAGAGTCATGGCAATCACAAAATTCGTAGAATGGCCAGTGGTGGATAACGTTCCTTTTCGCTCACTTGTTTTATACAATGGAGCAACATAACTTGGTCGTTTTGGTATATCCACCCTCTTACAGGGTTTTAACCACATCTGGAAGAAAGTGCATAAAACTTGAAGACAAGGCTGTTATAGTTGACATACATAACAGTATTGTTGAGTAAAGTTTTACTTATGTCTGCAAATTTCTGTGGCTCAGATTTTGTGAGCAGTACTGCCATTGTTCAAAACATTTTCTTGGAGCTCTGAGAACTATTTTCAGAACTAGTTCAGAAACTAAATGAGAAAAAAAAGAGTCATTTTCACCTACTCTGTCAAAAAGCATATTACCCATCTAGTCATCACCTCTCCATCATACTGATCTGGGTAGGACTTTTATTGCTTAAAATAACAAAAGTGAGATATACTTTCAAAGGAGAGAAGTACCACCATTGATACTCAAAATCCTGTCCCCTTAAAGGCTAATCCCAAAAAATTCTGGAAGGATTTTTATCAATGATTGTATTCTAGAACTAGATCACCTCCCCATTTTAGGTGAAAATTTTAAAGGGACGAGTATGTTTAGAGTGCTGTTTTTAAAACCGTTGCATGCCTTTATACCTAGACAATATACCTACATTATTTTTAGAGGCAGCCAAGTTCCTAGAATGTTAAAGCACCGTTGAACCTCACCAATCTCAAAAGGAGGGTTTGGGGGCAAGTTGATCTCTGAATATAAGAGTAAAGAACGAACTATGATCATAAAGGCGAAGTAATGTTTTAGAAATGAATTCCTTTTTCTGTTGTAACAATAGCAATCCTTGAGGTGATATGGCTTGACAGCCCCACCATTCAGAGCCCTCTTAGGTTTCTCAGGGCAAAACACAAATTGTATGAGGGCGCTAATAGGAATGCTACTCTATATCTCCCACATAATCTTGGAATTGATTATAAAGGGGATTTGTATAGCAGTTTTCAGATGTAATTAAATACGACATAACACTCAAGTTGGATGTATTTCAACCAAGCGTGGGTTTTCTTTTTGTTTCATTTCTCATAACTAAACAAGTATCCTTTTGATGATTTATTAAATGCCAAGTTTTAAACATTTTTTGTGTTTTTTGGTAGTTGTTGGTGGTGATTTCGCTGTTTAAAAGTGACCCCCAAGTGCTCAGGTGCCGTCTGATGTGCCTAGTGCAAGAAGCTTGTGACGTCCCTTATGGAGAAAACACTAAGCCTCGTTCAGGCACGATTTACAGTGTCCATAAGTTCAAGGTTCTTTATATCAACAATATATTATGAAAGAAGGTGTCTTTACACAGAAACAAATAAAACGAGGTTATATATTGATCAGTTAACAAAAATGTGACCAGAGGATCATAGACAACCTTGTATTTCTTCTAGGAGCAATGGTTCAGGATTCACTAATTCAATGTTGGCAGCAACTTAATAAAACATAATTACTCTGAATAACAAGAATTGACTGTGTATGAGTGTGTGTGTGTGTGTGTGTGTGTGTGTGTGTGTAATCCCCGCCCCCAAGGATATATCCTTAAAAAATACTAACCACAGGCACTGTATCATAAAGAATTTTGGGAAGTGATTCTGCAAGTTTCTTTGTCTTTCTGCTCCAGGAAGCTCCATCCAGAAATAACCCATGAATGAAAACACCTAAATACAAAAGAAGCAGGTTAATACAACACTTTAAATATGCATGTTGGTTTAGTTCTAAATCTGAAATTCCTACTATGAATACTATGCAGGTTGTACTAGGTCCGCAGCCTACGGCTTGTTCTAAAACAAAAGCAGTGTTATGAGTGCTCTGTCTTAACAACCATCCATGGGCAAAGTATATCTACACTTTGCCTAGTCAATTAATAGTGAAAGTAAACATGGAAGATGAAAGAGGAGAGGAATTTTAAATTAGTCTATGGGAAGCTATGTTTGTGTGAACACTATCAGATTTATATTTTTAATTGGCCAATGATTATAATGTCAGAGCCCATGAAATCTGCAAGGAAAGTTCTTAATGTAATGGCAGGGATCCAGTGGCTTCTAGGCAGCATGTGAACTAAATACTCTTCTGCCGATCTCTAATGTGAGAGCTAAGTCTCTCTTCCCTCTTTGAATTTATTCTCACTCCAAAGACACATGGATGAAGTGCTCCTAGAATGTAACGTCACACACTAACCGCTGAAGAACACAAACTAGGAAATCAATTAAACCCCGATAACTTTCTCAGGATATCCATTTGTGTAAAGCCTCATGAATTTGAATATAGGTACCTGCACAGGAAAACACTGATTGTAACTATTGCACAGATGTAAAGTGAAGCAATGTGGGGTTTAAACCTAGGTTTTAGCTCCTAATTTGCTGTGTGACATTGAGCAATTCATTTAACGTTAGACCTGCTTTGTCATCTCGAGAGCAGCTGAAAAACATTTGTAAAACAGTGAAACAACAGATAGATGTTAACTGGGTCCTGTTTCACAGCCACACCTACCTGTGTCACATGTTTGCCGGCTTTGAGATGCGGTCAGCACTATCAGCTGCAGCTTTGCCAGCCCCCACCTTGTTCACTATTTGCTGCCTCCCTTCCTGCTATGTAGTGCTCTCTCCATTGATGATCTGAGTCATCCTGTTTTACCCACTGATTTAGATAAGAAGAATCTTAGGCAAATACATCTAGAACAGCGGTTCTCAACCTGTGGGGCGTGACCCCTTTGGGGGTCGAACGACCCTTTCACAGGGGTTGCCTAAGACCATCGGAAAACAAAAAGTTATTTACATTA